TCCTCCGGCACAGCTCACCAGGAGGTGACGGAGCTGGTCCACCGGCCGCAGCTTTTGGAAGATATGACTCCCCTACAGGACGGCAAGGAGGCTACTCTTAGTATACGTGACTGATCGGTTCCAATATGACAACATCGAGCATGTGTGCAGCATGGTGAGTCATGACGGCAGTTTTCACCTTTGCAGAGAGAAGGACAAACTTCTGCGGAGGGATATTGTGCTGTTGGACCACCACAGGGGAATCCGTGATGGGGATCTGTTCTTTGTTCAGAGGAGTAAATATCTTGGATGGTCTCTCCTCACTAATGGCACAAAGAGCCCAAGAGTGTCCATCTACATTAGACATCATCTGTAATAGAGGGCAGGAGAAAGAGAGGCATATTTTTTTTAAGCAATGCACAAAAGCACTTGTATACGTAATCAGCAATACAGAGAAGCAACAAATGGTAGTAAGAGTTTGTTATGTGCCAACCTGAGTCTCCATCAAGGGTTTCTTGAAGGGGAAGGAATCATGATTGATGCACCACAGAATGTCACTGTCCTCTGTCTCAGAAGCAGCCATTAACAGAATGCCTGAAGATTTAAACAAAAGAAGAGACAAAATGGTAAAAGAAACGAAACAATGTTGAGTTTTGACTCCCATTGGGTCTTTCTGATAAACCGATGAAAAGCAGACACAAAAGGTTCACCTTTGCTGTGTAGTGCCTTATGGACCTTTGCAGGTTTCTGCAGGGTAGAGGATGCAGAAAAGCCCGGTGGCAGACGGACATGGACCAAAGCTAGCAGGCTAGGTCGAACTGCCACATGCCTCTGGTGTAGAAGGGCAAAAGGTGTGGTGCTGAAGTAGAGACGCACACCTACAGAAACAGAAAATATATGCAAGCACACATGAAATATAAACATATCATATTACTGCACATGTATCCTACTATTCTTACTCATCTTCACTAGTGTTCGGTAATGTTTACCTGCATGCGTGACAGCGAGCAGGTGACAATCTGAGGACTCGGATCTGTCGATCACAGAGATCTGGATGACAGGTTTGAAGACGGAACGATCAATAGTCCTGCAGAGGAAGGAGAGGTTCAGAGATCTCATTAATGATGTGAAAGAAACACGGCTGAGGGTCAACAAACCGTGACATACCTGGCTATGTTTCCAGCAGCCGCAACGATGGTGTTCTGTGACATGGTCGCCACACGACTCATACCTTGACCATCAGCCCCCAGGTCATACACCTAAATAAACAGACACATTGTGAGTCGTTTCAGCCCACCGACAATCACCACACACATGAAATATTGACTTGACATTCACTAAACGTCATACCTGCAGGACACCTTTCTCAGAACGTGTGAATAGAGTGTTGCGGGAGTTGTCAATAGCAATCTGAACAATGGGGTCTGCAGAGAAACAAGGACCACAAACGTTAAAAGTTAAGTTGAATTAAACTAAAGACATCATTCCACATAGAACCGCGTCCCTCTCCTCACCGTCTTCAGAGAAGGAGAACTGGAGCACAGAGGGGACGAGGAAGGACAGAGAGCTTTTGGAGTGGTTGATTTTCCGGCATCGCTGGCTCAGCCATCCGGCCTCGGCCTGGTAAGCGATCTCGTAGAGGCAGCCGTCCTTTCCCGCCATGAAGATGCGTCCCAGGTCTGTGGAGGTGATGGACAGGATGTAGGTGTTGTCTGTGGGGATCGAGAAGAGGGGGTCTGGCAGTAGCTGCATCCCACCAGACATGCTGTCATTCAACCCTACAACAAAAGAAAGAGAGACACACAAAGATTACAGATGAACCACCACAGGTTCATGAAGATATTAATGGCTTTGTACTGCTTCTTAACTGTGTGTACAATATGATAGTGTTATGGTACAGCAGCTGTCCTTATCTGGCACATTTGCCTCGCTTATTAATATCTGGCACTTGCTTGTACATATGCGAGTGTAAGTGGCAACAAATTAAGCTGCAAGCTGCCGTGTTATGCATGTTCTTTTGCAGCTTTTAAGCAGTTAGACATCTTTTATTGTACTGTAGCGTGATCGTATTATCTTGTTACAGGATTTTTCAGAGGAGTTAAGATAAGAGGTTAAACTCTTACGGCTAAAATTTCAATTAATTTGAAAAACAGAAGAGCGTCATTAGAATATTCCTCAGTGGCATCTACACAACCACATGCTACAGGGAACGACTCAAATGCAGCATCACTGTGATAAGAGGAAGGACTCACCAGCCTGGCTGTTGGGGAAGCTCAGCCCAAGGATCACGACATCCACAGAAGTGGCCAACACTAAGAGGTAGTGAATGTGTGGCTGTAATATCCCTGAGAAGAAAAACACAAAAACATTACTCAGATAAATAAAAATGTTTAACCAATGCCGCGTTTAAATGTTTAAACATACCTTGTTTTGGTTTTACGAGGCCCACTGCCAGAATGGTTTCAATGAGGCCATCAAAATAGGCCACATCTCCTCTGCAAAGAACATAAGAGAAAAAAAAGGAAATAATTGTCTTCACTCTGGATTTATCATCAGCGGAAGACAACAATTAACAGGGAATACTAACAATACATCAAAGTTCACCTTGTGGGCACTTCAGTTGGTTTCATGTAACGCACATCATTAACGTCACTCAGTCCCATATAAAAGGTACATAAACGGTACTCACCCATCTTCATAATTCCACATGAAGATGTCATTGTCAATAGTAAGCCATGCTCGGCAGATCTCTGGAAAAACTCCCATCATGCAGTTACATTGCATATCTGGAAAATGGTTAAGTTGAAACTCAAAACAAAGCAATCACCCGTGGATATTTTTAGCTATGTGTGAGATGGAAACCTCTGGGTCCAAATAAAAGTAGTCAATTTAATTCATTTTTCCTGAATAAGTGAAAGGATACGGCTGAACTGCTCCACCAGCTCAGGAGGCAGAGGAACTCGGCGGACGGCACTGAGCTCTGGGACATTTGGCACACTGAGTAGACCTGGTCCCTGGAGGGGGTAGTCCATGTCTGACACTCCAGAGAGGGACGGCATATCTATCAACACAATAAACGACAACAGAGTTAAAGTCTGACGATGCCCTGCACTAGCCCAAGACCAAATGTTGTATCCCGATCATAATACAGTTATCTTGTATGCAGACATATTCCATCATAGAGCAAACAGTGTTCATCAAAATACTTAGATGTAGCTTGCAAACTGTACTTTCCCTCAAACCTGTCTCGTGTTGTTCTTTTACATCTGTGAGTAAACAACCGTTGACAGCATCAACAGGGACTACCTTCCCACCGCCTACTCTATCCCATCGTTTGTACCCTTGAGCACAGCATCCCTAGTGTACAGAGAAACCCTTGAGTTTGGTAGCTACTGTTAGGTCTGTCTCTCTTCTGCCACATCCCTCCACATGACTCACTGTGCGAGGGGACGCTGAGCAGCTCCGAGAGGTCCGGGAAGCAGCGGTCTTCCTGCAGGTGTCTGTCGATGAGCCGGGAGGAGTTTTCCAGCGCTTCTGCGAGCGCAGCTGCGGGGCTGCTGGGTCCAGCGCTGGACGGCATGGCTGCGCTACCACCGTGAACGTACCGTCAGGTGATACCGTTTAAATCCAGAGTTAGACAACAGCGTTAGCCAAGTAAGGCGATATATCACACGTGAACAAAGGAGAGATGTACGGCTGTCCAGTGCCAGCTAATGTTAGCAAGCTGGTGGAAGGACGCCGGTTAGTTAGCCTGATTGCTAGCTTTGAAACCTTATTATTTAGCATGCGAGCTAAATGCTAGCCAAGTGTGAAATAAAGTGTTTTTAAAGTCAACTCGTTGCTTTACCCGACTGGAAGGATTCCGCGTGATAGTGAGTTATATGACACTGAGGTTTTGTTCACAAGTTGAGCAGCTGAATTTAAACAAATACATCAAACACACATTCAACTAGCAGCCCGCCAACCTCATGCACAGCGGCAGGGGTGAAAGGTTTATTTCCGGTGAATCGTTCTTCTTCTTCGTCTCCTTAATTTTGGCAGACTGGGCGGAGTGAAAAGTTGTGCTGCCATCCACCGGTCAATGTCATTGTATCTGAAATATTATACTCACCACACTAAATATGTAATAATGTACTTGTAAAAGGATATTAGAAAATGAAACAACGACGATTAAACTCAACACACTGCCTTAGTATGCAGTGAAGAGGTATTATACATTACATTTATAAAAATACTTTTCATAAATACTTTTATTTTTCACTTTTTTCTAAATTCATAACACAAACCCAGATGGTTTTATCATTTCACCCCCGAAAGAAGAAAAGTGCAATTCCCTTAACATGACGTTTGTGTATTGACTTTTGGTATTTCGTCACATTTAGAAATATCACTGTACATGTGCATGTTGTCAGATCCCCGGTTATCTTTTTAATACATTTAAAAAAGCGTGATGTGACATACGATCGACTAGTTATGACAAAAAGATACACAGGGTCATAGTAGTAGTGAAGGCATATTCTTGTTAAAATGAATCCTGTTCTGCTTGATTTCACACAGGAACGGTTTAGTACAGGACACGCGTTGCTTGCAACTAGTGTATATTTTAAATCAAACATTTTCTACCAAAATGCAGAATTAAAGTGTGCACACTTCATCAACCAGTAGTAAAGGACAAGAGTCAAGAGATTCCATTAAGTTACGTGCCAGCTGCTGCACATCCCCACAGTCGTAATCACAATGGCAAGATGAGCTTTTGGGTTTATCTTTTACGGCAAACTTTTGCCGAGTGAGTAGAGGCTTCAGTAATCGCTTAAGAAGCTCTGGTAATATTTCTTCATGGGCACGAAAAACCTGTTTGATGTCCAATCAGAACTGAAAGAGACTTCCTTCACTCACCCTGATCTCTGTTACACAGGTGAGGGAGTCACAGTACAGGTAAAAAAGATGAACCTGATGACTTTAAAAAGGATCCAATAAATATTCGGAAGTGGGGGGAAAAAAAAGTGCAAACAAGTAACAAAGACATAAGAAAAATTTATTGCAGTATTTGTTCCACAAGAAGAGCGGGAGGGGAGGGGTCACTTTTTTTCTTTCTCCGTGTTCTATAACATCAAAATCTATATTAAAAACAATATAACTTCCCCTGCATATAGGCACAGATACTGCACTGCTCTTAACATAAATAAATTATATCAAAGATACTCCATTACACAGCGTGGGTGAACAACAAAATGTTCAAAACAAGAAAGAAAAGAAAAGAAATGTAAAAGTAGTTGGAGCTCAGATCAAGTGAATAAATCCATCTGATGCTAGTTTAAACTCCAAAAACACTTTATTAAGAACATCATCAATACACTAACTTCCAACATTCAGTTTATTTTTTTTTACAGAATTATGTTCAGATATAAACATGTGTTTAGTTAAACTATTATACAGTGGGAGTAAAAATCAAACAACAAAGTTGCTGCACAACAGCGAAGGAACTCCCACACAATGTTTTCCAAAACATTTCCTTCTTGTGTTTTTCGTGTGTTAAACTTAAACATGTCTGTAGTCAAACAGATCATTGTTCACAATACTTTCCCTCCATCGGGTCCGTAAATCTAAAGAGGTTTCATTTTCTCTCTGAAACATATTTGATCCACATAGATTTGGGCTGTGAGGGGTTTCTGTGTGAGTTATTTCAGTCGATTAACTCTCAGTCCCCGTCCTTAGCAGCGTATACCGCCCGTAACGTCTGTGCCACTTTGTTCGTCAGCTTGTGTCCACTTGTCAAAGGTATCTTCTTGTAAATGATGTCTGACTCCTTGATAGTGTCAACCCAGGGAACCTTTTTGCGACCTTCCCGTTTCCTTACCTCAACCCAGGAACTAGAGTAAGATCCAGTCATCCAGTGTATACTGTAGCCAGTTTTGATCCTCTGGATGACCCTGGCAATCTGCGGTCTGTCTTTGTATTTGGGACACCAGATGGCAATGATGTCCATGGCCTTCACTCTCTCGTTCATGTGGCCTGTATCCTCTGCGGACTCCCCGCCTTTTTTTGGTTTCCGCTGTGGCTAGAAGAAGCAGAGTGGGAAGCGTCACAGAGAAATCTTACAGACATTTTCCATGTTGGGACAACGTGTGAACAGCTGCAGCAGAACAAATACCAGCAGATTTGATCTAAAATCCATAAAACAAACCAATGATGTCTGTGGATGTGAGAGGCAGATATGACCATATACAGTTGTGTGAAAAAGTGTTTGCCCCCTTCCTGATTTCTTATTTTTTTGCATGTTTGTCACACTTAAATGTTTCAGATCATCAAACAAATTTAAATATTAGACAAAGATAACACAAGTAAACACAAAATGCAGTTTTTAAATGAAGGTTTTTATTATTAAGGGGGAAAAAAAATCCAAACCTACATGGCCCTGTGTGAAAAAGTGATTGCCCCCTAAACCTAATAACTGGTTGGGCCACCCTTAGCAGCAACAACTGCAATCAAGCGTTTGCGATAACTGGCAATGAGTCTTTTACAGCGCTGTAGAGGAATTTTGGCCCACTCATCTTTGCAGAATTGTTGTAATTCAGCCACATTGGAGGGTTTTCGAGCATGAACCGCCTTTTTAAGGTCATGCCACAGCATCTCAATCGGATTCAGGTCGGGACTTTGACTAGGCCACTCCAAAGTCTTCATTTTGTTTTTCTTAAGCCATTCAGAGGTGGACTTGCTGGTGTGTTTTGGATCATTGTCCTGCTGCAGAACCCAAGTGCGCTTCAGCTTGAGGTCACGAACAGATGGCCGGACATTCTCCTTCAGGATTTTTTGGTAGACAGCAGAATTCATGGTTCCATTTACCACAGCAAGTCTTCCAGGTCCTGAAGCAGCAAAACAGCCCCAGACCATCACACTGCCACCACCATATTTTACTGTTGGTATGATGTTCCTTTTCTGAAATGCCATGTTACTTTTATGCCAGATGTAATGGGACATACACCTTCCAAAAAGTTCAACTTTTGTCTCGTCAGTCCACAGAGTATTTTCCCAAAAGTCTTGGGGATCATCAAGATGATTTCTGGCAAAACTGAGACGAGCCTTTATGTTCTTTTTGCTCATCAGTGGTTTTTGTCTTGGAACTCTGCCATGCAGGCCATTTTTGCCCAGTCTCTTTCTTATGGTGGAGTCATGAACACTGACCTTCATTGAGGCAAGTGAGGCCTGCAGTTCTTTGGATGTTGTTCTGGGGTCTTTTGTGACCTCTTGGATGAGTCGTCGCTGCGCTCTTGGGGTAATTTTGGTCGGCCGGCCACTCCTGGGAAGGTTCACCACTGTTCCATGTTTTCGCCATTTGTGGATAATGGCTCTCACTGTGGTTCGCTGGAGTCCCAAAGCTTTAGAAATGGCTTTGTCACCTTTTCCAGACTGATAGATCTCAATTACTTTGTTTCTCATTTGTTCCTGAATTTCTTTGGATCGCAGCATGATGTCTAGCTTTTGAGGATCTTTTGGTCTACCTCACTTTGTCAGGCAGGTCCTATTTAAGTGATTTCTTGATTGAGAACAGGTGTGGCAGTAATCAGGCCTGGGTGTGGCTAGAGAAATTGAACTCAGCTTTCCAAAGATGTGATAAACCACAGTTAATTTATGTTTTAACAGGGGGGGGGGGCAATCACTTTTTCACACAGGGCCATGTAGGTTTGGATTTTTTTTTCCCCTTAATAATAAAAACCATTTAAAAACTGCATTTTGTGTTTACTTGTGTTATCTTTGTCTAATATTTAACTTTGTTTGATGATCTGAAACATTTAAGTGTGACAAACATGCAAAAAAATAAGAAATCAGGAAGGGGGCAAACACTTTTTCACACAACTGTATATATTTATGAGTTTATATGCAGAAATAGTCCGATTACACGACTAAAATAGGAATCCTATGGGTAATGACAAGGTTTTAAAATTCCTACCACAGGTGGATCTTCATCCTCACTCTCCTCCTCATCTGTGTCCACTGGAGCGGTGTCATTTTTACTGTCATTTTTACTGTGGTTCTGGTTCTGGTTCGAAGGTTTTGGAACCTTCAGCAGTGACGTAATGGCTTTGTTTCTGGCATTGGCACTTGCTTCACCCTCCTCATCCTCTTCGTCGCGATCCAAGTGCTCCATCAGTACCTTGAACTAAGACAAAAGCAGACATCTTCATATTCCTGAGACTGAAATAATACATTCATAAACTAGGTCTGTATATGCAATATATTGATATCACATCAATAATATGACATGAGACTAGCTATCGTCTTACAGTTTGGATATGGTAATAGGGTATTATGGCAAAAGTGATGTCTACATCCACATTACTGATGATCGTTTATAAAAAAATCGCATTGTTTAAATATTTTGTGAAAGCACCAATGGTCTGGTTGAGCTAATTAATCAAAAGTATCATTATGTTTGGTTTTCTCCATGTCCACCTGACCCTAACTTAACTCAAAAAACAGTGCTGAATACTTACATCCAAATATTGTTTCACAATATTCCTCTTGATCTCGTCGCTGAGATCTGAGTTGGCAAGGTCCCTCTTCAGGTAATCCAGTGTCTGACGAGGGTTGAAGTGCACCTTCGACTTCCTGTTCACCGCCTTGTCGTACACTTTGGCAGACTCCGTCGGGGAATATTTCTGGATTTTGCTGTAACGCGAACAAAAAGTTTGTGTCATGTAAATAGCGGCATTACTGAGAGTTGATGAAAGATTTGTTGACTGTTGTCGACATATTTGATGAGGCCTACCTGTCCGAGAACCCAAACAGGTTCTTCAGATGTTGTTTTAGCACCAGCAGCATGAGAATTCCCTGTGAAGCGCTGGCGAAGTCCAGCAGAGGGTTTGGGTTTTCAGGCAGACGGTCCATCACTGTGTCCTCATCCTCCATGTCGCCGTCAGAATCAGAGAGCACGGGTTTCTTTTGCTTATGAACCACCTCATCCTCCTCATCACTGCTGCTGGATGAGCTACTGCTCTGCTCGTCGTCCTCTTCCTCATTATCATCATCATCGTCTTCATCGTCTTCATCGTCGTCGTCATCAGAGCCATGTTTTCTTCTCTGAGGCTTCTTCATCTTCTTCTTTTTCTTCTTCTTCTTCGTCTTCATCTTCTTTGTCGTCGTCTTCTTTTCCTTCTGTAAGGGTCCTTTCTGTAGAGACTGTGAAGAGAACAAAACCGCTCAGACTCAGACCAAATATACAGCGCATATATTACACAAGCTTTGATTTTCATCTCATAACACACAAACAAATAAAGAGCATTAAACACAGCTTCTCACCTCCTTGAAAGACTGGAGCAGGTTGCTACCAGAGACAGACAGAGTAATATCTACATGGTGCATGATGAAGAGAGGCTCCTCCTGGGTCTGGTAGGGGAAGTAGGCCAGGTTGTCTGCTATGAACAACAGCCTGTTCACCTCGGTTTTCTGCAGGGGACAAAGTGTACAACAGCACTACTTAAATAAACGGTCCATGACCAGTAGCGAAGCTTAGATAATAGGTGAGTGGGAGACAATCGAGCCTATAGACCTCCACAAAGAGGAGCAGAAAGGTGAACTTACGGAGCTGTCGTCAAATAAGTTGAGCAGGGAAATGAGGAAAGCCCGTCTGTATTGCCGGTTCCCTCGGACCAGAGTGTAGAGGTGAGAGCAGAGAGAAGTGTCGGTGTCATCGTGGCGGAAACCTCGAATCACTGCGCCTTTGGATCCATTTATGGCCTGTTGCACCTGATAAGACATCTTCAACCCTGCTACGGCCTTCATCTGGGAATTTGCAAAGAGACACAACTCATCATGTATGTAGATGAAAAGAAATCCCCCCCATCAAAGAATACGATTTTTGTATTTTATTTTCATCATACGACAAGTCAAGGATCAAACGTTGAACTACAGTACATGTGTAGAGTATAGATTTATTTTTATTTATAACAAATCAAAATAAAAACTACTGCTCACAGATACTGAAAGCAAATCATCTTTTATACACTTTCACCTCGTCTGGCGATCAAAAACCAGTACGCCACTCACATGGATGAAGCCCGTATATTTCTTGTCGATCTCCACCAACTGTTGATCGGATTTGTTCTTCATGGTTGGCTCAGGGTCTGTTCCCATGGCAATCAAGTAGGGCACACACTAAAAAACAAACAGTTCAAATTCTGTGAACAGCTGATGGTGATACATTAAAAACAGCAGAGAATTCTGTCACGATGAGATAGAAGAAAATCTGACACAGATCTTGCTTGACGGAGGTACTGAATGTCTGAGTCTCGGGTGAGTCTGCTGGAGTGAGAGTGTGAACATACCTGAACGGGGTGGACGAGGCCCTGGCTGAGCGTCAGCGTGATGACACTCAGGGCAAAGTGGCGAACAGTGGACTGTGAGTGGAAGAAGGACTCCAGCACCTGCTTCAAGTAAATCTGCATTATGGAGCTGCTCATGCCTGATGAGATGTCCCCCATTTCTTTCAGATCCTCCTGGTTGGATTGCTTCTTCCCTGAATACAGAAAACACCAGTTTAATCAGTCTTTAGATGTTCTACATCATTGATATGCTAAACGTGCAGTTATAATCTAATGCACTTGATCAACACAACAATTAAAATTTCTTAAACTCACATTCGCAATCGGCCTTCTGCATTCGAGAGTCCTCCTCTTGCAGGTATGTCTGCAGGTTTTTTAGCACCTGGATCTTCACCTGAGTGACCAAACTGCTTTCCTCTGACAGGGTGTTGTTATACAGAACCTTCACATCCTGCACAAACATGAGCTCTGGATACATGATGAACTGGAAGCCTTGAGACAATGGAAATTAATTGAATCCAATTAATTCAGAGGAAACTAAATTCGCAAATAAAAACAAGAAAATGGAGTATAAATACTTATGTTGTTCTGAGATGAGGTGCAATATACCTAGACCCGTGATGGCCTTGATCTGGACCTCTTCATCTTCGTGAGTGGTGAAGTACAACAGAAGCTCCAGCACTTTATCCTTGATGACAATCTAAGAGACACAAGGGGAGTCGGTCAACAAACCCAGCTCCATAAAAGTCCTGCACACACAGTCCAAGCCGATTGCCGGAGTTTACCTTGCTAGTGCCCTTAAACTCCTCTTGGTCGAAATCAAAGTGTCGACAGAGAGCCCCCACAGTGAACAAGGCGCGCAGCAGAGTGGGTTTGTTAGCAGCCAGAGTGGAGCTGTTGGGGTCCTCTTGGTGCTGTGTCTTCAGCTTTGCCAGCGCTCCTATAGAATGAGACAAGTGGGCAGTGAAAGCTAACTTTAGTTCTTCTGGTTCATACAGTGAACTAACAAAGTGTGTGTTCAATGTGAATGAACAGGTCCTATGTAGATGTTATTAAAATGTTGGTGTAATTGAGATTGCTCATGTTCAAATGAATGCATGTACAGTACATAAGACTTACCATAGTAGCGATTGAAACAAGCCCAGACAAACTTGTAGTTGTGTGTGACCTTGTTGACAACGGCACCAAGACAGCTTACACTGTGCTGTACAACCTGAGAAGCAGACACAACCAAATGACGTCATGTTCAAATCAAATCTGTCCGCTCAAAGCAGTATCTTCACCTCCACACTGTTCATGCCATCTGTGAGAGCTGGAAGCTGCAGGTGACACTGACCGTCATGCCGTATTTGATAATGAGCTTCATCAGATCTTCTTCTAGGGTAGTGAGGAAAGTCTCACTCGGGTGCTCCATCAGAGGCACCACCAGCTCCAAGATCTTCGCCACGTTACATATCACCATGAAGTCATTCTGAGTCTGAAAAAAATGTCAACATGGAGACAGTTGTACGGTCCAAAGCTGACCTGAATGACTAATCACTCCATCAATTGTTTCCCTCCTCTCATGATGATTTCTCATACTTCCACGCAAGTTAAAAAAAGAATAGACTAATACTGAAGGGAATCACATGGTACTTACGCTGCACTTGGTGGTCAAGTAGGGCTGCATAGTCATGGCATGTTTGACCATTAACTGTGCTCTGATCTTGCTGAACAGGTAGAGAGTGGTGACGCACGATACCAGACGACCTGAGTTGACCCCTTTGTCCTCACAGTCTGAAACGCAAACACAGAAAGCGTTGGTATTTGTTCATAGTATGGTTTAACACAATAAGACTGCAATACCAATTGTGTATCAAACGTGCTTTTCCGTTTATTTTTATTACCTGCAATAGACTCCTCGTATTTCAGTATGTGCTCCACTAGATTGTCCACCAACTGAACGCAGGCTTTCTTGGCAGGTTTGTACGAAGCTTGCTCTTCTGACTTAAGGAGCTAAAATGGATTTCATACAGAAGTCAGGCGAGATGCCCGACAAAATATGCAACAAAGTAGTTATCATGAAGACACACACACGCTGATGTTGAGATATCAAACAAGTTAAACAACTCACATTTTGGAGAAGCTGCTCAAACCAATCATAGCCAGAATCTTTACATGCCAACACCTGGGATGAAATCAAAACATGACATGAGTCAGAGTATGACAATGTCAAACATTCAAATGTCTCGGGTTTGAAGGATGGTGCCAAATCCTTTGTCACAAGCTTAGCTAGTACGCACCACATCTGTGATGTTCAGGATCTTCCGGGTCATGGCGTTTTTGTCATGACCGGGTGTGGGAGTGAACCAGATCTTCTGGAACGTCTCATTCACCAGTTTCTGCACGGGAAAAGAGATTCACATATATATATATATATATATATATATATAACCTGTATTTTTAAATCGATACACGGCCACAGCACACACATAAAAGTAAACACAAACCTTGATCCCCTCTTCATCGTTGACCCTTCGGATCATCCTGACACACATCTCGGTGATCTTGTGGAAGTCCGGCAGCTCCAGGCAAATATCCCTCAGGATCTTAATGACCCTCTTCCTCACACTTATACCTGTGTCCTGTGGAAAGACAAAATGGGTACAAAGAGAGCTCAATATAGACAAGAAGAAATACATTTCTCAATTGCACTTTCAACTGCCAAATGGTTGCAATCTGTTCTTTAGGTGGCAGTGTGGGAAAAGACGATTGAATCTCGCCTGGACCTTGTAGTAAATGTAGTTTTTGGTCAGAGTTCGCTTAAGTCAAGGGAAGTTAGTGACTGACATTGCCTATTCCACAAACTCTGAAGAGGGCACGTGAAGTGTTGAAAAGAAATGTAAGGAGTGAAGCTTAAGAAATTACCAGTATCCTTTCAATGAGCATGTCATAGTACTGCTCAATGAGCTGCGGTCGACTCAGCACGAAACGGCCAAGGAGCTCCACGGCTGCCTCCCGCACACTGGTGGAGTTGTCCATGAGGCGACAGTGAACCCCACGCTGCATATCCAACTGCGGAGCGAATGCGAGAGATTAGTCAAGCACAAATAAACATTACTGAATGTTATGGCTGCAAGTGTGACTGTCATAAACCGGCATAATTGCCTGGCAATACCACAACACCACCCTAACACTCTATAACAGGATCTCCTGTTAGACCGCTATCAATCCAGCGGTCTAGGCGATGTGTAGCATCCCACACAGGAAGACTCACCCGTGCAAGAATACTTGGATCCACAGCTACTACTTCAGACAGACACTTCATGGCTTTAGTTCTGACTGCGATGGCGCTCTCGCCCAGCACTCTCAGAATCTATACGAAAGAGAGAGTAAGAGAAACAAAGTTAGTCACAGCCAACACAATATAATCTCTCACTGACGTTTATTAGAAAGGAATCCTCCTACCTGTGATAAGTAAATATCAAAGCTCTGTGAAAACGGCCTCATGGAGGCCAGATATCTGACAATCAGGCATGAGTCCCCATAGTCCACTGTGTCGGAGTTTATACTGAAAGAAAAATCAAAGGGACGGTTGAATAACAGGAAAGGTGAACAAGTCAAACAGTGTAACCAAAGTGCAGCGCTCCAGAGTGAGGCAGCATTTACCTCGAGGAACTCAGATCTGACGGTGACGTCTTCATGATCTTGCGGAGGAATTTCTTTCGCGTCTCGCCCCTCTGCAAAATCTCCTCCGTCGAGTCGACATCCATGGAGGGATGTCGACCTTTGAAGTCCTCGTCGTCGTTTTGAGACCTCACCGCTTTCTCTGCCTCAGTTATAGTGTCCCTGAACCACTGAGCAATATAAAACTTCCTGGCAAACTGTGTGAAACAAATGCAAAAACATTTTAAGGCATACTAAATAATATAATACTACTTGGAATTATTATTATGATTAATATGAATATCATTATTATTATAAATACTCCTGCATGTAAACACTGAGCATCCAGTCCTTAGGGTATCATACATGTGACCATGTTGATTTCTGTAAATACATTAGTATATGAAGATGAAATGCTCACCACTAGAGATGGATCTGTCTCAATGTTCTCATTTAGGTAGTCCAGCAAGGCCTTCTGGAGTTTGGGGATCTCGTCACTGCCTTGAGTCTGTAAGGAGATCAATAAGTTCTACCACTGTGCATTTGTATCTGTTAAAATCATTCCGTCACGATCAAGTCTACCTCTCTGAGGATGCGGTCGATAGCCTTTTGGTCCATGTTGCTGTTGACGGCGTCTTTACGCAGGCTAGAAGCGACGGTGCCGAGGTAGTCCAGCGATGCCACCCTGAGCGCCATTTCTGTCTGCTTGTTACTGAACTGGTGCACCTGGAGCACGAGAAGGGGCGGAAAAATGTCAACACAAGCCGGACAGTCTGTCGGACGGATGTTTCGGTGATGACACGTTTGAAGTGAGCGACGCTACTCACCAGCAGTCGGCCCAGTAAACTGAGCAGCAGTTCGGCTGCAGGCCACTCAGGCCTGTTGACTGTAGACAGCAGGTCATGAACAAAGTTCTCAAACAGAGGCCTGTAGTCATCCTCTCCCTGCTTACTGCCACACCTGAAACACACAGAATATTATTATTATAATATGTGTTTGAAAATGAAGTCAGTTAATATTACAACCTGTTCGACAGTAGAAGAAGTTGTACTGCGCAGGGACACCGAGTGCTAAAGTCTCCCTTTAACAGACCAATTACTTACTTCTTGAGAAACACAGACAGGAAGTTCTGAGCCGTCCTCATGGCAGTTTCATAAGAGTTTGTGATGAAGACATCTTTATCCACCTAGAAAAGAAAGTACCCGATATATAAAACTACTTCTGAATAAAAACAGATAAATATGATTTAAGTATCAAGTTAAATCCTGGGTAGTTACCTTCTTATTATGATCACCTTCTGCATCCCTCTCTGAGGGAAGGCGAACCACACACTGGATGAGCTGAAGAACCAGTGCTGAGACCATCTGGATATACAAGGGCTCGTCATCCGAATCACTGTTTAGCCTGGGGGAGTAGGAGACATGAGTATCGTTAAGGTTACTGAACAAAAACACTTTTATTTCTTCATTTATGGCATTGAATTGAGCAAGATGTAGTGACCTAAAGTTCCTGAGGCTGCGTTTACTCGTAGGCAGTCTCGCTAAGGAGGTGAAGATCTCTTCAAGAATGAGCTGCCTGTGCTTCTCGTAACGGCAGAACACCTGAGGAAGAGCAAAATGCAAAGATCAGAACATAACAACAACAGCAAAATTGACTGCAAAAATAAAACAAAATAAAATTGCGTGTCATGGCACACTTACTGCTGTCACAAGTGTGATGGCACATAACTGCAGTTCGCTGACATTCTCCACAAAAAAAGGTGTAATGCCCAGGGTGGACACCTGAAAGGTCGGGCACAACATCAGTCAGGTGTGTAAGAATTCGAGAGACAAAGGTTAAACGGGGCCGTGAATTTGAATGTCGTCAGAGTCTCACCTGGAGGATAGTGGTGTCAGTTAGCAGCTGGATCTCCAGAAGCTCTGAGATACTGCTCACTATATCACACACTTTGTCGTAGAGCATGACGACCACCTTCTGTTTATGGGTTGAAATCTTCGCTCGCTTGGACTTTGAAGTATGCATGCCACCTTGGGTGAGGAAGATGAAGGGATAAAATATACGTAAACCACTTGCAATATACGAATACCAATTTTTTAACAATGGCGCTCCCCCATTTAGAGCAGTACTGAGATAATTTGGACCAGCATGGATCGGCTTTATCAGCTTCCCAATATGCAAACGCACAAAAACAGCTTCTTGAGATCAAGATTTCTGCAACATTTTATAACAACTTAGAAGAACGGAAGAAAAGTGTGCTGACCTCTTCTGTAGACTGGGTCATACTGAGGGTACAGAGAATTTTGCAGATGGAACTTGGTGTACTGCAGCACCCTCTCGATCACGTCTTCTATATAAACTGCCTTGGGCATGTGTGGAGATGTCATGATGTTGAGTGCAGTCAAACAGGCATCAGCAGACTTAGCAACCCGCTCGATGATGAGGTCACGCCACAACCGCTCTTCATCCATGGAATCATTTTCCTTCAACGTTTTAAAACACAGTTCAAATATAGTATACGAGTACAACCATAAGACGGAATGGAGATATGTGAAATGAGACATCCCGATAATAAGCAGATAGTATCTAAAATATATGTTTACTAAAATGTAGGAAAAAGTGCATGTTTTATAGAGTAATAATTTGGGGGGAAAAAAAAGAAATCAGGTATGAAAAATCGCATCACTTCCGCAGCTAGAAATTAATATCCAGCTGGCAACTTACATGATTCATGAGTGTGGAAAGCTTGACGCTGTCCTGAATGTTCTTCTCCAGGATATTCAAGAGTTTCACCAGTTTCTTAGTCGAACACTGCGGATCAGAAATAATAATTGTGTCACGTTCACACCAATGCGGCTGTGAATTGATGGTCTTAACTGTTGAACCTCAAGCGTAACCTCGTGACGGTGCACGCGCGCGCACTCCTCTTACCTTGTTAAAGATGCACATGGCCTTGATCTTAGCAGAGTCAGTGCCTAGCTCGGTCAACTGGTGCTTTCCGAGCAAGAGCTCCTCGGGTATCTCGTCGTCATCTGTTTGAGGTCACAAAGTTACAATATTGACGTTGTTCCGAACAAATGTCATGAACGTTGGAAACTGTGCCGCTCTTGGTGGTTACCTGCGGCGGCAAGGTCCACATCGTCGAGGCTCTCAATAATGCTTTCCATGTTGGCCGTGAATCTCTTAAATGTGGAGGAGTCTATCTTTTCTGTTTTACAAATGTAAACACGTTGATTAATACAAATATGTACTTTTAAAATGCCTTTTTATTATAATAAAATAATTCAAAGTGGTAAAGCAATACCTTCTGGTGTCAGCTTGGAGTCGTATGCTTTCTTGTTTTTTTGTTTCTCCTTTTTCTTCAATTTTCTGGCAACTGAACAAAAAGTCATTAGACAAGACATTAGTCACAACACTCCACAGGGGCAACTCACTCTCAAGCACCACATGTTTAATAGAGACTTAGACGGATCAGATTTCACAATTATTTTTGGGGGTTTATTGGCTAAGGTTATATAAGTTAGATCAAATCATTTTGCCACCTTAGAGACACGTCACAAAACACAAACTCTCTCTCTCTCACCTACAACATTTATTTACATGTTTTCTTTTGCCTATGCAAAAAAAAGACTCACCATCACGCAAGCTTGGTGGTGGAGAGTCTTCATCCGAATCGTTTGGACTGCATTCACGGTGACAGCTGCTGGAGCCCCGGCGAGCGCCATGCAGACCTCCGCTCCGGTGCTGCCCAGAACCCTTCTTCTCTTCCTGCTTCCACGACTTGTCATGATCTTTCTTGGACCTTTTCTTTGGAGCTGAAACAATCCCAAATAAAGCATAAGTCAGAAAATATCAAGTTCTTTAAGTACCAATTATTGGTATAATAAAGAAATCAAATGTAAATATTTGGAGGTATATATAGACAGCCTAGTGCTTTTGACAGATTTTGCAATACTCTGATGTGTATGTACAAACATGTAAATGATTTAATACTGACACTCATTGTCAGAGTCATCATCATCATCGTGGTCAGAGTCCTCGTCATCTTCATCCAACTCGGCGTACTTGGGTTTCTTACTGATCATACTGTGCTTTCGCTTGTTCTCTGGAAGCACAAGAGGTGTTTTCAGCACAGAATCATCTTATATGCTACTACTACTTCACAAGAAGATGATTCCTGAAACAGTGGTTTAAAGTATATAAACAATCCCCAAACTGAGCACAGCCACATTACACATATCCATCCCCTACAGGTTTGCGTGCATACTCAATAACCGAAGTAAATCATACCTCTCCCTGATTTGTCAGAGGATCTGGAGCCGTGCGCGTTCCTGCTTTCCTTGATGATCCTCTTCACCTCGTCAATGTTGAGTTTGTTGAGCACAACGACAGGTTTAGCTCCTTTGTTTAAGTTCTTTATCAACGACAACCTCTCCAGCCTGACCAGGGGCTCACTCCAGCCCTCGATCAGTTTGGCTGGAAGTTGGAGCTCTTTCGCATCCCGTTTTAATTTAGGAATCACAAAGTTCTTCAGATTTCCTGACTTGCCACCCAGCAGGTATGAGGGGAACTCACAAGGTTTTGTCTCTAAAGACTGCTGTTTGTTTCCAGCTTGGCAGCTGACGCTGCCATCCCTACTTTTCCTCTCTTTCTTATTTTGTACGTTTTGAAGGCTGGAACTCTCCGTCTTCTGTCGCCCATTAAGGTCGGTGGATTTTCCGCTATCGTCTTGCTTCACTCTGGGGCTGTCAGGTTTAGTAGGCCTGTCAGGAGAGTGCTTGTTGCAGTTTTCCCTTGACGTCTTGTGCTTCCGATCTCTGTCCTTATCCCTAGCTCTGTTTTTATCTCTGTCTTTATCCCCATCTCTCTCTTTATCTTTGACTTTTTCTCTGTTCTTATCCTTATCTCTATCATTATCTCTATCTTTGTCCTTAACCTTGTCTCTATCTTTATCTTTGTCTCTGTCCTTATCCTTATCATCTCTATCTCCAACTTTGTCTTTATCTCTCTCCTTATCCTTGTCTCTATCTTTTTCTCTGTTCTTATCCTTATCATCTCTATCTCTAACTTTGTCTTTATCTCTCTCCTTATCCTTGTCTCTATCTTTTTCTCTGTTCTTATCCTTATCCCTATCATCTCTATCTCCAACTTTGTCTTTATCTTTCTCCTTATCCTTATCCCTGTCTCTGTTCTTATCCTTATCTTTATCTGCAACTTTCTCTCTATCTCTGTCCCTGGCTTTGCCTTCTCCATGTTTGGAGATGTGCTCCCCTTTGCTCAAGGTTTTTGGAGTCTCAGGGTTGCTGACATGGGATCTGTGGATGTTGTGGTTTTTTTCCTCTTTGTGGCGCAAGTCCGAATGCTTGTCGTGCTTCTGCCGCGGTGTGTCTGGCCGTTTGTCATCCGAGTGTTTCTTGCCGCCGACAGTTTTGCCGTCGTGCTTGTGTTTGGATTCGCGTTGACTTTCCGGCTTCTGTTTGGGGGCTTCTGGTTGCCCGTCTGAGCAAGGCTTCTTGGGGTTGTCGGCATGCTGTCTGATGATCCCCGGTCTGTTTTCAGCTACTTTATCCACCTTTCCATCAGTCTTTGGCTTTAGGTGCCGTAGGTGCTCCTCGCAGAACGTCTGTGCTTCGAGGACCACCACAGGCTGTCCTTTCATCCTGCCAGCTTGCTGCAGATCAATGCTGACCATCAAAGCCGGCCGACTGGCACCGTTACTTGCAGTGTTCGTCTTCTTGGGTTTCAACTTGCCATCGGTGTTGCCCCCTTGAGCGGCAGGCCCGTCACTAGACTCGGCTCCGGATTCCTGAGGATACGTGTCTTGCTTCCGTTTCTTCAGTGGCTTATCTGCGATAAAGATAAAAAGAAAAATCTTAGATCGTCTTGAAACACAAACAAATCTACGTCATGACAAATGCAAAAAAGGCACGGGGCAAAGGCGGACACACAATACCTTTATCCTGGACTTCTTTCGACCATCTTTCTTTCTCACTGGCCGACTCGCGTTCTATTCTCTCGATCTCTGCCAGCGTGTCTATCTCAGCGTCGTCAAACACGACCCCACCGACGACTCCGGACTCCTTGCTATTTGGCCGAACGGGAACCTGCTTACAGTTTGCCTGCTCCTCGGCACCGAACTTGTGTGACAGGTCCTGGGTAGTCCTTGAGAACTGATTGTTATTATTATTATTATTCGTCAAATCAGTTTCCTGTTCTGAATCAACGCGTGGCCTCAGAGGCAGCTCTCCAGATGGATCCATTTCTGAAAGCTTAACTCGGGACAGTTTAATAGTCAGCCTGGCGGACTCTTTCGCTGGAGAACTAACAATGTCATACGAGGCATTTTTGTCTGTCGGGTCATTTTCTTCTTTACTCCTTTCTTTCTGCTTTTTTTTGCGGTCGGCAGAGGTAAGGAGCGAGTCAGGTGCTGCAACTGGCGGCATATCAGGTGGAGGGGACTGCATGATAAGGGGAGGCCTGGACCCTGCTTAAACAAAAATAAATCTCTTTAGTCTTTGCAAAGAATGAACTGAACAATTCATTTTGATTCCACAAAATTAAGAAGAACGGGCTTGTTGCTAAGGTAGCATACTTTTTGCAGTCTCTTCACTCCCGGCGGGGGAACACACAGACTCTGGTGATTTAACTGGAAACGTGGCGGCCCTCATGGAGGGGTCATTCTCCTGTTGGAACATGAGACATTTATCATCCCTTGAAAACAGTCTCAGCATCTGCTGAGGTCCAGCTCAGGATATCTTGATTCTCTCTGCATTACCTCATTTCCCAGTCTATGAGCCATGTTAATGTAGTCTTCATCCGAGCCTAGCCTGGCATTATGATTAGATGAAGTACTCGATAGCTGACCAGAGACCTTGTCGTCATGGATATTTCTAACTAAAACAGAGAGCGAAATAAAATATCCAGTTAAATTATTTGTGATGTGCAGTGCCTCGCGTCTCCCTGAGAGATAGATGCCTTCTTTCCCACCTGAACAGACAGCTGTAATTTTACCGTGCTACAGTAAGAAAGTGTCAACTCATCAAGCGACTCCTTGAATATGTACTCACCTTGCTGTGTCTGTTGGTGTTGAGAGTAACTGGGTGGATTGTACTGCATGTAGTCTGCAGGACTCTGAGGGGTATAGGGACTGGGTATAGGGCTGTTCTGCTGGGGCAAGAACCGAGCACCTGATCCAGACTGTGGGGACGCAAAGCATCTGCGGAAGGAGGTAGGAGTCGTTTTAGTCGATATGCAATACTTCTGCGTCTTCATCATCGGGCTGTAAACTGGCACTGCCTTACCCAGAGGGACTTTGAGGGACACTGGTTTGCTGATAGTTTGATCCTGGACTCCCATGCACCTGATTCTGAGACATCTTATACTGTTGCATCATTGGCTGCTGCATTACACCTGAGAGGTAAGGATACAACAATCTATAAACTGCTGTGAAAAGTTCTACTCAACTTAAGTTTCACTCTATTGTTTATCTTTCCGCAATGGCTCTGCCCCCAGTTTGGGAACCAACAGTGTAGTTAAACTAGGCACAAGTAGTGCATCTGACCCAGGAAAGGCTCAGGGGGATAAATAGTTAAAGTGAAAAACAAGACTACAGCCAGGGAAGGAGCGTGCACTCATCCCTGTCACCCCAAACCTTGCACTGGGTTGGCATACTTTTGTCCCTGAAGATTTTGGGGTTCCTGGACAGCAAAGTTTGTAGAAGCAGTGGCATGTCACCCTCGGGTTCATCATTCCCCAAGTTGTCCTTCAACTCTCTATAAAAGCAAACAAAAGCACAGTCCACAGTCATATTGCAGGCAATAGTTGCCCACTGGGCCTGAATGCAGTTTTGACTAATGCATTCTGATTCCTTCCAGTCTCAGTTACCGTTTTCAGTGCAGTTTAGACTTTCATGATTTTGACAACTTAGAAAATGAGCTGACCTTTCTGGTATCACAGTGAATGTAATGTGATCATTGCAATTGAAACATCAATGCCTGACTTCACTGTGCGGCGGCTGCAACTACCAGCCGCACCATCAACCAGGCATATCGAAGGTGATGTTTTTCATTTCTACTGTTTAACAGCATGACACGCATTTTTTTTTGGCACACTTTATTGTTTCTATATTGAGTGCATTGCAATCATGTAAAATTTTGTTAAGATAAAGTGTTAATAACTTTCCTAACAGTGTCCTATAGTCCACCATCCTCCTGGCAAAAGACTGAGGTGCTGCATCACACCTGTCTAGTTGATGGGCCTGGATAATTGGACCGTGCCATTCTACTACAGCCAGAGGGGTGTTCTCAGGAGCCACTTCCTATACACCACATCGTTTTAAGAAGAGGAATGTCACCCCTGCAATTAAATATGGTCTTGCCACGTATAAAATATAATCCTGCAGTTGGGAGATGAAGGGGCAGTGTCTCTTTGTCAGAAGAGCACCCACTATGTCGCTTTAAAGTTCTGTTAAGTTGTGCTTAGGCTCTAGAGCAGTTCTGCTCCGTTATTGTTGGAATGCTGTTAAGCATTCCATAACTATTGTTATCCTGTTTCTCTTTATTCTTCTTCTTATATTTCTTCCGTCCCATCTCTTCTTCTTCTTCATTTTTTAAGCTACAGAAACCGTTCAACTATCAAAATGTTCAGCTCTTTAATGACATTTCTGCTATGACTTTTCATATGTCTATCTCTTATGCTTTATGAATTATTAAACTTTTTGCAATTTTAATTTTGAATGGGATTTCAATGGAGAAAATGTTCAAATCCTCTGAAACTTCTTCAACTTTCAAATCCTTCAACTTCCTCGTATTTTCAGCTACAGACACCATTTCAACTTTCAAATGTTGAGAAAACCCTGATCTACTGCCACATTATTCAGCCTTTTGATACATTTTAAACTTTTTGAACTGCAGCAATTTAACTTTTATGATTTTTCAGCCCTTTTCTGACTTTATAATGGGTGTGTATTGCGCAGCTTAGAGTGCGTGATGTCACCGCTAGAGTGAAGAGCAGCTTGAGATTCTTGTGAAAAAAAGATTTGTCTTTTGCCACTGTGTCCACAATCTTCACTCTTCATGCATAATTTCTGGATGTAGAAGTAGCTAATCTTGTCCTTGTTGTAGACAAATGACTGTGGAATCCCACAGATTTACACATTTGGCACAGAAGCCTGTTATTGAGAGGAAAACCAACTTTCTGCTCCATAGAGACCAATGTTAAATTTTGCTTCAAAAACAATTTTTCTGATTAAGCTAATTAGTGATGTTGATAAACACACAGACACACATGCACTCCTCTCTCTCTCTCTCTCTCTCTCTCTCTCTCTCATACAGTCATTCAGGTCTCAGAGACTTTTAGAGGACCCCCCCATTTTAAAATAAAAGCCGCACACACATGATTTAGAGATATACGTGATGCAGCTCAGCCAATCAAATATGGGTATTCTGATAAGTTTCCTGATTCAAGTGACATTTACACACACCGCGACACAAGAGGGAGAGACGAGGAAAGACATGGCAGAGCAGGACAATAGTCATGTAAGCTGTAAAAGATAAAACATAGGACAATCTCCAAATGAGAAAGATTGCCAGAGAGATCAAAGTCTCTCTCTCTCACTCACTCACTCACTCACTCATCCTCTCTCTCTCTCTCTCTCTCTCTGTCTGTGTCTCTCTCTTAGTCATTCAGGTCTTAGAGATTTTAAGAGGACTTCCCCCCCCACACACACACACACCCCCCATTTTAAAGTAAAGGCCCCACAAAATG